GATTGCTCTAGGGATTATAACATACATACATAACTTTATATAGTCTACTAGTCTGAACATCTTACCACTTGAAATAGATTGCAGATATCTTACCATAATTTATGTCCCTTTCCCTCACCACCTTAGATACAACTTCCTTAAATATAACTTCTACATATATTGAGAACTATATCAGTGTTATAATTTTTACTTTGTATCCTGAAAGACAATTTTAAAAACTAAAGAGAATTTACTCTTTCTATTACTTTCTTCACTCCTCTTCTCCAAGTGTCCTTTCATTACCTCTTCCTTTGTGTCTGATAAATTTCCTTTGTACTTACTATTTTAGAACCGATCCACTGGCAAAAAATTTTCTTAGCTTTCCTTTATCTGAAAATATATTTATTTCTCCTTCATTCCTGAAGTATATTTTTCCTGGATACACAAATCTGGGATAACATCAGGTTTTTTCCTTCCGCGGTCAAAAAATGTTGGACCACCTCCTTGCGTCTTCCATAGTTTCTTATGAGAAATCTGTTGTCATTCAAATTGTCCATGTTGCTACAAAAGTTGGGTATTCATCCTTTCTGATGGAGGCATAATACTCCATAGTGTATATGGACCACATCTTCCTTGTCGAGTTACACCAGTAATGTGTCATTTCCCTTTCAAGATTTTTTCCTTTAGTGGGTAGGGGGATAGGTCAAATAGGTAAAGAGAATTAAGAGTGCACTTATCTAGAAACTTTTCCAAATAAGACATCAGACGGCCAACAGACACATGAAAAGATGCTCAACATCACTCATTATCAAGAAAATACAAATCAAGTGTTCCCCTTTCTCCACATCCTCTCCTACACTTGTTGTTTACTGTCTTGTTACACTGTTGGTGGGAATGCAAGTTGGTGCAGCCAATTTGGAAAACAGTGTGGAGATTCCTTAAGAAATTAAAAATAGAGCTACCCTATGACCCAGCAATTGCACTACTGGTTATTTACCCCAAAGATACAGATGTACTGAAAAGAAGGGCCATCTGTATCCCAATGTTCATAGCAGCAATGGCCACAATCATCAAATTGTGGAAAGAGCCAAGATGCCCTTCAACAGATGAATGGATAGAGAAGATATGGTCCATATATACAATGGAATATAATGCATCCATCAGAAAGGATGAATACCCAACTTTTGTATCAACATGGACAGGACTGGAAGAGATTATGCTGAGTGAAATAAGTCAAGCAGAGAGAGTCAATTATCATATGGTTTTACTTACTCATGGAGCATAAGGAATAACTAGAAGGACATTAGGAGAAGGAAAGGAAAATGAATTGGGGGAAAACGGAGCGGGAGATGAACCATGCGACACTGTGGACTCTGAGAAACAAACTGAGGGTTTTGAAGGGGAGAGGGGTGGGGAGTTAGATGAGCCTGGTGGTAGTTATTAAGGAGGGCACGTATTGCATGGAGCACTGGCTGTGGTGCATAAACAATGAATCTTGGAACACTGAAAAAATAAAATTAAATTAAAAAAAAAAGAAAATACAAATCAAAACCATAATCAGATACCACCTCACACCTCTCAGAATGGCTAAAAATTAACAACACAAGAAACAACAGGTGTTGGCAAGGATGCAGAGAAAAGGGAACCTGTTTGCATTGTTGGTGGGAATGCAAACTGGTACAACCATTCTGGAGAACAGTTTGGAGTTTCCTCAAAAAGTTAAAAATAGAAATGCCCTACGATCCAGCATCTGCACTACTAGGTATTTACCCAAAGGATACAAAAATACTGATTCAAAGGGGTACATGTGCCCTGATGTTTATAGCAGCACTATCAATAATATCCAAAGTATGGAGAGAGCCCAAATATCCATCGAATGATGAATGGATAAAGAACATATGGTGTATGTGTATGTACACACACATACACACAATGGAATATTACTCAGCCATCACAAAGAATGAAATCTTGCCATTTGCAATGACATGGATAGAGCTAGAGTGTATTATGGTAAGTGAAATAAGTTAGTCAGAGAAAGATAGATACCATATAACCTCACTCATATGTGGAATTTAAGGGGAAAAAAAAAACAGATGAACATATGGAAAGGGGAAAAAGAAAAAAAAGAGGGAGGGAAACAAGCCATAAGAGACTCTTAATGAGAGAGAACAAACTGAGAATTGATGGAGAGAGGTGGGTAGGAGATGGGGTAGATAGGTGATGAGTATTAAAGAGGGCAGTCGTGTTGATGAGCACTAGGTATTGTATATAAGAGATGAATTCTACTCCAGAAACCAATATTGCACTGTATGTTAGCTGAGTAAAATTTAAACAATATTTTTAAAAATCACGAAAAAAAGAGTGCACTTATGATAAGCACAGAATAATGTATAGAGTTGTTGTACCACTATCTTATACATCTGAAACCAATCTAACACTATATATTAATTAAATTGAAATTTTAAAATATGTAAAATTTTACAATACATATATGTATATACAACATATATATGTATTTTAAATACATAAATACAACAGTGCATATATATAAAGATTTTTTTCTTTTGTTTTAATTTTCAGAAGTTTAACAACAATGTGACTATGCATGGATTTTTTTAGGTTTATCCTGTTTGGAATTCACTCAGCTTCTTGAGTCTGTAGACTTAAGTCTTTTGCCAAATTTGGGAAGATTTAAGCTATTCTTCAAAAATTTCTTAGGTCCACATTCTGTCCTTTCTGTCTAGTGCTCTAATGCCTCAAATATTAGATCTTTTATTGTTGACCCACAGGTCTCTGAGGCTAAGCTTACTTTTCCATTTAGTTTCTTTCCATTATTCAGATTGAATAACTTCTATTGATCCATCTTTAAGTTCGCTAATTCCTTCCTCTGTTTCTTCCATGCTGCTATTAAGCCTATCCAGTAATTTTTAAATTTTGGTTACTGTATTTTTCAGTTCTAAAATTTTCATTGGATTCTTTATGTTTTCTACTTCTATTGCTGCAGTTTACTATGTTTTCATTTGTTTCAAGAGTGTCTCTAGTTGATTGGTGGAGCAATTATACAAAAACAGCTTTAAGATCCTTGCTGATGATTCCAACATCTGTGTCATTTCAAAATTGGCATCTGTTGATTATCTTATTTTATTAGGATTGAGATTTTCCTGATTTTTCATATGTGAAATAAATTTGGTCTGTATACTGGACATTGTAAGTATTATGCTATGACATTCTGATTCCTATTTAAATCTTCTACTTTAACAGGTGGGCAATCTGCTTCAGTTCAGAATGCAATCGTAGGCTTACTTTTGTGGGCTGTAATTTAAATGTCAGTTTAGTATATAAAGTCCTTCCAGTGCTCTCCTGGTTTCCCCCATTAGTGTATTACTGAGATAGCAGAACTCCACTTTACTTATACTCAGCATGGATTTGGGTGGAGAGAAGCACTGCCTCATTTCAGCAGGGCAAGGATGAAAAACAGGGTACTCTTCACATCGTGTGCTAGAGAGGGGTACTGTTTCATTAATGGGGAGAGGGTGAGAGTCAGTCTTGCCTACAGGTTCAGCTGGAGAGGGACCCACTTATTATTACAAGGGAAGTGGAAAACAAGAGTTCTAACCACAGGATCCTCTGTAGAGGGATGCTTCCTCCTTACTTCAGAGCACAGGAGGAAGCCCACAGAACTCTGCAAAATAAGGGCATCACCTTGTTAACACTGGGTAGTTGTAAACTCCAGAGTCCCACCCACAGGCTTTGCTGGGGAAGGTGCCACCTTGCAAGTGCTGGGTGAAGTTGCAATCAGAATCCTGCAGGCCCCACTAAAGAGAGAGGCACTGCCTCATTATTGAAGTGGGGAGGGTTAGAAGTCAAGAGTTTGGCCTGAGGCTCCACTGGAGAGGGACATCTTGTTACTGCAGGTGTGAGGAAAAGTGGGTATGTAAGATGGGAGTTCTGGTCACCAATTCCACTACTGTAATGCCTGTTTGGGTGGGTACAAGGGAGTGCAGCTTTTATGGCAATGTTCTGTAGAGAACAGAAAGGATAACTTAAAGGGTTTCTATCTTGATCCTTTTGTAGTTCATAAGCATGAAGATAGGGTGTTCACACAGTTGTATGACACGTGCCTCACTCAAACCTTGTTACGTCTACACCCCGTCTGATGTGGAGGAAAAAGGTTTCTGTCTTGCTGCACCAGCCTTTGCTGAAAAATGGTTTTTTTTTGATGCTTTTTTGTTTGCACCTATTAGAATTTGCAGGTGGTGGGCTTCTCGAGAGCCCGAGCCATAGTATATGGAAGGCAAGAAAAAACAATCTGGGAATTCATTCAGTCCTTGAGTTCAAAGGTCCCTAAGTCACTCCACTTTCTTTTCCTTTGCTTTCAGAGTTTTCTGGTAGATGACTTATGAGTTTTGTCCAGGATTTTTGTTGTACTTAGTAAGAGGAGTATAACAGAATGTGCCTACTCCATCTTGATGAAATAACAGAACCCAAAACTTGTCACTTTTTTCCAGCCCAGATTTTATGTGTCCTATCGCTCTCTACTCTAAGTTTCCAGAGGACATGGACCATTTTTATTAATCTATTAATTGTAGACTTAGCAAACCATGTCCTATATGGCATATCCTTTAAGCTTAGTGACTATAAGAATCTGTTGATAAAACTTCTTGGCCTTTACCCAACTTTATGTTCACAATGAAACTTTTAAGTTTGTTCATTCATTCAGGAAACACCTGTTTTATGAAAGCTTCTCAAGAGACAGCAGTGAGAAAGACAGCTAAAATCCCTAATGTTATTCTACTGACTGGGATAGGGTAGAGGGACTGGAGGCATATGAATAATGTGCTCTCTTCAGACTGAACAACACTGATAACTGAAAATATGTTTCAGTTAATATTAGGAACATACTTTGAAAAGTTGCAAATATTCAGAAGTCTAAAAATTTGTAATTGGCATATGTAAGATAATTTTTTTTCACTTTTCTAATGGAACTTTAACGATCTAATAAGCCAATTATCAATACTTACCACATAGAGTTGTTTCCACAGACTGGCCCATTCTTGTAGAGTTGCTGTAACCTCAGTCACAATAGAATCTTCAAGTGGAACCACAGTTTCATACTGCCTAGAACCAGAGCCACAACAACAGCCACATTATCTTTGATAAAATGCCAGAATCCTATCTACTGACCTTTTCAATGTGTGTAACTCAAAGTTAAGTTCATGCAAACATAAAGGAGAGCTATAACCAATTGATTGAAGATTCTTTTGCCACAATATAGTGCAATAGTGTAAATGAACTGAATTCATGAAAAAACAAGTCCTTAAAAAAATTAAGGACTTGATATGTAAGTCCTTAATTTTACTTTTAGAAATACTGTCTTTAAAACAGACTTTTTAAAAGGCCATTTTGAGCCTTTTTCTTTAAAGAAAGACCATATCTCACCCATGTCTTGCTTAAATTAATTTTTTAAATTATTTGTGTCCTTTAACATTTACTAGTAATGCAAATTAGCTCATGACCTTGACATAAAAGATCTAATGGAAATGGGGGAGGGAGGGAACCCAGACACTGGTTTTTGAAACATTTTATAAACTCTCCCTTATACTAGTATTGTGCTTTCTTAGAAAATTGTGTCAGTAGAGGAATTCTGGGTCTGGTAGAGGAATTCTGATCCTCCTAAGGATCAGAAAGTTACAGGGATTCCCTCAGTCTACTCCATAAGCAGCATCTACTATGGTGCCAGTCCCTGTGGTAAACTGCCAAGGATTTATCAGTGAACAAAAGTGGACAGTGTCCCTATCTTCAGAGAGCTCTTGCTCTGGACAGAGAATCAACAATAATCACAACATACAGATATAAACAGTGATGAATCTAAGAAGGAAATTAATGTGTAAAATCAGTGATTTTAACTGGGGGACATGATTTAAAAAGAAAAGGGATCAGGGAAATCTTCTCTAAACAAGTGTTAAGGTCCAAAAGATGCAAAAAGTTCATGACAAGAAATGTGTGTAGGGAGGAAAAGAAACAGGTATGGTGCCACCTGTAGAGGAAAAGTATACAAGAAGCCACTGAAATGGGAAAGAATTTCACATAAACAAGAGCTTTAAAAAGGCTGGACTCTGAGAAACAAACTGAGGGTTTTGGAGGGGAGGGGTTGGGGGGTTAGGTGAGCCTGGTGGTGAGTATTATGGAGGGCATGTATTGCATGGAACACTGGGTGTGGTGCATAAACAATGAATCTTGGAACACTGAAAAAATAAAAATAAATTAAAAAAAAATAAAAAAGGCTGGTAACACTGAGGCCAGCTCTCACGGGGCCTTTTCAAATGATACTAAACGTCCCAGATCTTAACTCAAGTAAAATGAATGAAAAAGAATTGAAAGGTTGTTCAAAATACGGGCATGACTTGATAATATTTTTACAATGTCTATGCCAATTGTGAGGGATAATGAAATACTCTCTGGACTAAAAAGTTATATACTGGTATGCTAAAGTGATTGAAACACAATAATTCTTATTTGTTAGCCAGAGCCAACAACTTGGAAAGCAAAAGAAGTTTATTTCACAAAATTCGCATTATGTATTATGTCTTTGCACAGGAAGAAGCTGACAAACCACCATTCAGAGATGACTCAGTGCATTAATATTGACTGTCAATGAATATATGTTACTTGATGATCTTTTATAGAGTTATTGTTTTATTTTGTCTGCTTTATTCCAGCAGATGAAAACAATCTTCTCAGACTGATTTCAGAGCACTATCCATATTCATCAAATTTATAAGCTGATTAAAATAAAAGTTTTCATCAAGTGCTTGTTAAGAGTAAAGTGTGATATATTTTTTTCCTTGTGCCAAGAGCATCCGAGGTAGTAATTCCTAGATTCAACTTTACCAATTATTTCAAGTACTACTATAATAGTTTTGAAATGAATGGTTTACTTTAATTTTTTAAAAAACAATAAGTCATATTGAACTTCTCAGATGGAGAGTAAGCCAATGGCAAAAGCCAGATCTGAAAAAGAGTAAGTCTTAATGACCTGCCAGACAAAAATTAATGAGAAGATATCCTTTTTTTCTTCAAACTACTGGATAACTAGTATAAACATTAATTTCTGAAATTATTTTTATATACTATGTATTAAGAGTGCTACAAAGATAATTAGGAGATTTATAGAAACAATCAGGGAGATCACAATCCTAATAACAAAACTTAAATGTAAAGCACAAATAGGTGCTGTGTAACATCAACTGTAAGTTCTAATGCAGCTTGGAAGGAAAAGGTTCACTTTTACCTGATGATCAGATAGAGCTTCATGAAGGAAGTGATGTTCCTAAAGAAAGCTTAGCTTTGAAAGGCAAAGAGATGGATAGAGAGGCTCTAATAAGCTATGAAGAAAGGTACAGAAAAAATAATGAGCAAGAAGTATTAAAGAGGATTCATGTTGAGAACATGGGAAACTGAAAAGACAGAAAGCTGTAGTCAAGGCAGGGCTAAGAGATTTAAATTTGACCCTATGGAAAGAGTCATGGGACATGTTATAAGAGTGTTGTGTTTTAGTAGAATTAACACAGAAATGACATATGGTATAAAGTGGAAAGTTTCATCTATTATATGTTCAGCTATTTAAAATAGGGAGATCTATGGGAAATTTGCAATGTTCCTATTTTAAAATTGTAAGGCTTTGGACTCACTTCAATTTAACTAATCTAAGTTGAAACTAAAATTGACTTATTTTTCTTAGATCATAATACACAATCAATATCCTAAAAATTTTTAAAATTCAGATATAGTATTATTACAAACATACTGTCCAACAGGCCAAGTAAAAAAACAACAACAAAACGACAACAACAACAACAAAAAACTGTTATTGTACCTCACTGGGAACTATGGCTTTTAGCAAGCTCCAGGGCTAAAAAGATTGGGCCTAAAGCAGTCCCTTCCTCCCTTCAGTCTAAGGTCAGGATTTGCCAAAGCCCCAATATAGCTATGGAGAAGGAGATCTAAAATGCTCTTGTAGCACTTTGTTCTACATGGGACCTTGGGAGTAGGCAGAGGTAGCTGCATAAGCACCAGACAGATGTGCTCAGAGAGAGAGAAGGAAGGGAAAAACAAAATCTCTCACTTCTAAAAATCAAAACTCTAAAACATATGAAAATATAATGATCAAGATTTTAAAATAATCTTAAAAAATCTTTTCAGAATTTTATAAGTCTGACATTTTTATATCTTTAAAATGTTTAAAGAAATGAGTAACTTCCCTTTAAAAAAGGAAAAGTATGAAACACAAGCAAGCACAAATAAAACAAGAGCCAATGAATATGCAAAAGAACTAGAAATTTTCCAAAAGAAAAGTATTATGAACAAAATGTCCATTGATGACTGAATAAAATAATGAAATGTAACATGCATATATAAGGGAATATTATTCAACATTTAAAATAAATGAAATCTTTTTAAAAGATTTTATTTATTCATGAGACAGAGGGGCAGAGGTCAAGAAGCAGGATCCGAGCCTGATGCAGGACTTGATCCCAGGACCCCAGGATCATGACCTGAGCTGAAAGCAGACACTCAACGAACTGAGTCACCCTGGCACCCTAAAATAAATGAAATTTTGATACATGCTACAACATGGATGAGCTTTGAAAACGCTATGCTAAGTAAAATAAGCCAGACATAAAAGGGCAAATAATGCATGATTCCATTACATGAGGTACGTAGAATAGGAAATTTCACAGATAGATAGAAATATTTATCTACAGATAGAGAGCTAGAAAGAAGAACAATTTTCAGGGACTGAAGGAAGGGAAAAATGAGGAGTTACCTGTTAAAGAGGTACAGACTCCCTGTTTGGGATGATGAAAAATTCTGGAATTGAATACTCATGAAGGCTGCACAACACTATGAATATACTTAATTCCACTGGATTATAGTCATAAAAATGGTTAAAATGTTAACTTTGGGGGAGGGGTGCCTGGGTGGCTCAGTAGATTAAAGCCGCTGCCTTCAGCTCAGGTCATGATCCCGGGGTCCTGGGATCGAGCCTCACATCGGGCTCTTTGCTTGGCGGGGACTTGCTTCCCCCTCTCTCTATCTGCCTGCCTCTCTGCCTACTTGTGATCTCTCTCTCTCTCTCTGTCAAATAAACAAATAAAATCTTTAAAAAAATGTTAACTTCTTTGTTATGAATATTTTACCACTATTTTTAAGATGTCAAAAAAATAATAGCAGTGGAAAAAAATAACAAACCTCTATACACTATGGAGTATTATGCCTCCATCAGAAAGGATGAATACCCAACTTTTGTAGCAACATGGACGGGACTGGAGGAGATTATGCTGAGTGAAATAAGTCAAGCAGAGAGAGTCAATTATCATATGGTTTCACTTATTTGTGGAACATAACAAATAGCATGGAGGACATGGGGAGTTATGAGAAGGCAGTTGGGGGAAATTGGAAGGGGAGGTGAACAATGAGAGACTATGGACTCTGAAAAACAATCTGAAGGGTTTGAAGAGGTGGGTGGGTGGGAGGTTGGGGGAACCAGGTGGTGGGTATTAGAGAGGGCACGGATTGCATGGAGCACTGGGTGTGGTACAAAAACAATGAATACTGTTATGCTGAAAATAAATTAAAAAAATGATTTAAAAAAAAAAACCTCAACAGAAAGGATACATGCTGGACAGAGTTCAAGAGAAAATAAGTAGCAAGGTAATAATGAAAAAAATCACTCTAGAATGTAGGGCAGAGCAAAAAAGTAACCCAAAGTATGAAAGAGTACTTAAGAGACATGAGGGAAAAGTGAAAGAATTCTAAACTACTCTTAACAGGATTCCCAGGAGAAAAGAATTGCAGCGTTAGAGAAAATTGTGATTTTCTTTTCCTTAGCTCTCCAGCATTGTAACCCCCTTCATTTGAAAAAAACTCAAATGTAGAGACAGAGTTGCCTTCCACTACATAAGCAGAAAATAACAGATACTTGATTTCTCAGCCTTTCTGTGACTATGGTACAGGCTTATAACCTGAGCTCCATCTACCCCAGACTTAGAAAGGAAAACCAATTACCCAAAACAGCAGAGACTACAAAGAAACCAACTTGGTGGAAGTTACAGTCA